TTCAACTTTACCATTCACTGGTTAGCCAATTAAATGGGATTTTCCAACCCCAGCGTCCGCTCTGCTCTCCTGCCCCAAGGCGGCTGCAGGATGGTCTAGCTCTGCCCCAAAGCCAGAATCACAACCCCGGGCCACAAACTGTTTGCAGCTGGAGAGCACAGCTGGATCCAGCCAAGGGGAGGCTGCTCTCATAGTATCATTTCAACTTTACCATTCACTGGTTAGCCAATTAAATGGGATTTTCCAACCCCAGCGTCCGCTCTGCTCTCCTGCCCCAAGGCGGCTGCAGGATGGTCTAGCTCTGCCCCAAAGCCAGAATCACAACCCCGGGCCACAAACTGTTTGCAGCTGGAGAGCACAGCTGGATCCAGCCAAGGGGAGGCTGCTCTCATAGTATCATAGAGCTGGAAGAGACCCCAGAAGGTCGTCAAGTCCAGCCCCCTGCTCTAGGCAGGACCAATCCCAACTAAATCAACCCGGCCAGGGCTTGGTCACCAACCCTGTCAGGGATGATGTAGACGGAGCTTGGTCCTGCCTTGAGGGCGGGGGGCTGGACTCGATGACCTCTCGAGGTCCCTTCCAGTCCTATGATTCTATGATTTGTCAAGCCGAGACTTAAACACCTCTAGGGATGGAGATTCCACCCTCCCTAGGGAACCCAGCCCAGTGCTTCCCCACCCTCCCAGGGAAATAGTTTTTTCTAATCTCCAACCTAGACCTCTCCCACCACAACTTGAGCCCATTGCTCCTCGTTCTGCCCCCACTGAGAACAGCCTCTCTCCATCCTCTTTGGAACCCCCTTCAGGAAGTTGCAGGCTGCTATCAACCCCCCCCCCCTCTCTTTTCTTCTGCAGACTAAACAGACCCAAATCCCTCAGCCTCTCCCCGGGCACTGGCACCTCCACGAGAATAAGAACTAACCTCCCCTCCCCGGAGGAAAACAAGCCTCTTGCTGGGAAGAGCAGCCGGCCTCTGCCGCGAGGATACAAGCTGCGAGGCTCTTCGGTGGGAATTTAGCATCACCCCGGCAGGTCCCTTGCTGAGGTTACTCGTCACAGCCCTGCAGAGCCAACGGAGCTTGGACCATTCCCACTGGCACCTCCACGAGAATAAGAACTAACCTCCCCTCCCCGGAGGAAAACAAGCCTCTTGCTGGGAAGAGCAGCCGGCCTCTGCCGCGAGGATACAAGCTGCGAGGCTCTTCGGTGGGAATTTAGCATCACCCCGGCAGGTCCCTTGCTGAGGTTACTCGTCACAGCCCTGCAGAGCCAACGGAGCTTGGACCATTCCCACCCGATTCATTTGTGTTTTTCTTCATTTCAGTCAGTGCTCTGGGGTGGAGCAGGGAGGGAGAGGGCCTCGGGGTGCAGGCCGCCCCAGGGAGAGAGGACACCCCCGGCCCCCCTCTCACTGCAGCAGCTTGGGGCCAGGTGAGAAGCGCCTCCCCATGGTCGCTGCAGCTCCAGCCGGCCCAGTCGGGGGAGGGGGGCATTTCCCCCAGCTGGGGCAGGTCCAAGTTCACTTGCCCCCTTCACCCCCCCCAGCCAGAGTGTGGGGTGCAGCAAACTGGGCACTTCCCCCTCAGCTCCCAACGAAGGGGAACAGCCAGCAATGTGAATGGGGAGCTGCAGCCCCCCCCAGCCGCACCATTGGGGGTCCTGGCTCTGTCTGCAGGAGGCCACAGAAACACAGGGGTGCGGGGCATTTCCCTGGAGGGGTGGAGATTTAAGAGTCCCCGTAACGTGTTAACGGGAGCGAGTCCCGCTCAGACGGATTCCCCTGCTCGGTGCTGGAGGATCAGGGATATGCAGTGCAATTCAGCGCAGCACTCAGAGCTCTGGATACTGTGCAAAAAGCCTCCCAGAGCAACAGGGACCTGGAAATCAGCCAGCGAAATGCAGCCCACTCCAACTCCATTCCCTGAGGGACGGCCCTTTCGCCGAACTGGCTCCAGCAGCGCAGGGCAGGACTGGGCCACAGCGAGCAGGCGCCTGCAGAACAGGGGCAGCTGGCTCTCAACCCGGTCCCTAGCTCCCCGGTCGGAAAGCAGAGACACTGTGTTCTCGGCAGCACCTGCCGGAAACAATAGAATCCCGAACTCCCGGGACAGAACTTGGCTCCCACTGGGCAGAAGTGTGGGGGCTGGGGGAGGGAATGGACTTGGGAGCCATTTGCCCCCATTGATCGTGGGGTGGGGGCACAGAAGTGCCCCTGACTTTTAACCCCCTTCCTTAATGCCCTAGGAAAGGACACACGTTTTAAACCACAGGACACTTTCCATTTCTTTTTTTAATTGTTGGTTGTGAAACTGCATTGAGGGGATTGGAAGCAGGAAGTTTCCTTCCTATGGAATTGCGGTACGGCCCCACGTGGCCTGTCCGGGGACAGGGACACCTTCCCACCAAGCATACACATCCGGGAAAGGCCAGCAAACGGCTCGGTGTTGAGAACCAGGCTCCGTGCGCTCAGAGGCGGCAAACCCGAATCTTCAGGCAGGGTCTTTGGCTCTTGCCCAAACGGGGCCAGGGCGAGGCAGCGGGAGAGCATTATTTCACCTGTACTCTCCACGAAGGTGGAGTAATTACTCTCCAAAACGTAAGCAGGGAACCCTGGGCAAGTGAGGGACATGCAGAGCGTAGCTTTACACTGCAGCGCCCGCAGCGAAGCCGCCAGCCCCTGCTGGCGCCGCTCCCAGGGAGCCACAGTGCGTAACCTGCACTGCGGGGCCGGGCCGGCCTCGCCAGACAGGGATTGCTCCGGCCGACTGCAGCAGCCCCTGCCGGTGGCGGGCCACACAGGGCTGGAGCAGCGCCTTGCCCGGGGTGGACGGGGAGTGCTCCAGCCCCTGCCAGTTAACCCTTGTACAAGCACATGGTCAGCTCTTCGGGGCGTCTATCAGCAAACAAAGGACAAGATGGGAGACAGGCACAGGGCAGGGACGTGACCTTGCCAAGGTGCACCGTGAGCAAAGGCCAAGCTAGGAAAGGAACCTTGTTCTCTCCTGACTCCAGTCAGCGGCCTGGGCTCGTCCTAGCACTGGTGCCGTTCCCCGGGAGGTTGGGGGAAGCGGTAGTTGTGCATCTACAGCCCCACACGAGACGGGAGGAGGAGGTAAGTCCTACACGTGGCCACTTACTCCTTCCTCTGGCAGGGAACTCACTGGGCCGTGGCCAGCACGGGTTAAACACAGAACCATGGAACTCTAGCACGGGAAGGGACCTCGAGAGGTCATCGAGTCCGGCCCCCTGCCCTCATGGCAGGGCCCAGTACGGTCTAGACCACCCCGACAAGTGTCTATCCAACCTGCTCTTACATATCTCCACAAATGGAGATTCCACAACCTCCCTAGGCAACTTATTCCAGTGTTTAACCACCTTGACTGGTAGGAAGCTTTTCCTAATGTCCAACCTGAACCTCCCTTGCTGCAGTTTAAGCCCATTGCTTCTTGTCCTGTCATCGAGGCCAAGGAGAACAATTTTTCTCCCTCCTCCTTATGACACCCTTTTAGATACCTGAAAACTGCTCTCATGTCCCCTCAGTCTTCTCATTTCCAAACTAAACAAGCCCAGTTCTTTTCCCTCGTAGGTCATGTTCTCTAGACCTTTAATCATTCTTGTTGCTCTTCTCTGGACCTTCTCCAGTTTCTCCACATCTTTCTTGAAGTGCGGTGCCCAGAACTGGACACAATCCTCCAACTGAGGCCTAACCAGCGCAGAGTAGAGCGGAAGAATGACTCCTCGTGTCCTGCTCACAACACACCTGTTAATGCAGCCCAGAATCATGTTTGCTTTTTTTGCCACAGCGTCACACTGTTAACTCATATTTAGCTTGTGGTCCACTCTGACCCCTAGATCCCTTTCTGCCGTACTCCTTCCTAGAAAGTCACTTCCCATCGGTGTGTGAGAGACTGATTGTTCCTTCCTAAGTGGAGCACTTACAAAAACCATGAATTACAGCAGGTAATAAGTGCGCCTTGGAGCTTGCCTGCCTGATCCTGCAGCTCGCAGAACCACCACTGCAATGTTGCAGCCCGGGCTTAGGGTGGGCTCCCCATGCAGCCTGAATCGGCCAATGAAACCCAGCTCTTCAGAGTCCATCTTAGCGGCATGGCCGGAGCTTCTGGGGCCCCCTCCCGGCAGGCGTTCAGTGCTTAGATCAGGTCTGGTGCCTCATGTTTGCTCAGCGTGCAAGCCCCGGGCGGCGAGTTATTTTCCAAAAGCCACTTCTCTGCCCAGCAGAGTAATTGCAAAGGCACCAAGCCAGACGCGCTGCGGGATGAGCAACGGAGCACGCTGTCAGAGAGGAGCAATTCATTTCAGCCTTCGTTACCACCAGTCCTTAACCTCCACAGCAGCAGAGCCGAGCTACAAAATCTGACAGAACCCTTCTGGGAGCAGCACGAATTCAGGGTCCTCTCCCCCTTCGAAGGGGCCCTGCAAAGGTGGGAGGACAATCAGGTTTGGGGCCCTTTTTGCCTCTTCATGCTGCATAAAGGAGGACAAGGATTTCCCCTGCTCAGCTCCCTGTGTGCCGAGGGCTTGGGCAGGAGAGATTCAAATGCCACCTGACTGATTTTCACAGCACCCCCAGCCGGCAGCATGTGTTTCTACTGGCGGTGCACATCCACACATGCCTCAGCGCACATAAAGAACATTTATTCTGCACCTGCATGGAAAGATAAAAGGGACCGTTGTCCCTGACCCATTTTTCCCTTCTGCTGCTTTTGTGTCTTAAGCCGCCCAGTAATGCCCCGGCTGGGTTTGCTGAATGACACTGGGTGTGGATTGTGCGGCCCCTGCCATGGCAGAGGAGGAGGGTTCAAAGCTTGGCCACTGAGATGCTTTCCCCTGAGTGTTCTGTGGGTATTTGAGTTCAATGGGCGTTACCAACAACAAAGACCGTCCACAAAGAGGCTTCCCCTGTCAATCAAGTGAGAGCGCAGGATGTCTGCTGAAAGGGCCTGACAAACAGGTCAGGCAACATCTGAACCTCTAATGTCAACAGGATAAAGCCTCTTTGGAGGAGCACAGGGGTCAGAGCAGGGCCACAGCGAGGGCAGGGCCCAGACCTGCCTGATTTCTTCCCACCCCGCTCATGCCAAGCGGCCTGCCAGAGCGGAGGCCACAGTCTCACACTTCAGAGACCACGGGGGCTGGAAGGTCCCCACAGCGATCTCCCCAGGAGGGAGTCTCAGGGGTTCAGTCTCCCAGCCCCTGCCCCTACAGCCCCCCACCATCCATCCCTGTGGCCAACAGCCAGGACAGTCCCCAGGCTCTTCTCACTAGTGACCACAGCCTCTTGGATGGCCGCCAGCACCCCAGGGCCTGGGGGTCTTCCAGTCTTAGCAGATTCACCCTCGAGCCCCTGTGCGGCGGAGGAGGTGAGGGGAACAAGCCTGGCCTCACAGTCCTTTCAGTCCCAACAGGCAAGACAAAGCGGTGGAGGAAAGGAAGGAATACGATCCCCGTTTTACAGACTTGCTGAGGCCCAGAGAAGAGATCTGCCAGATCACGCCCGAAACCCAGCTCTCCTGAGTCCCTGTCTGGCACATGAAACAAAGGGCCAGTTTTCCTCCTCTGCGACAAAATCGGACCGGCACCCGCCCCCCCGCCATCAAGGAGCGGAGCTCGTCCCTTGCAACGTAGGTCCCAAGCAAATTAAGGCAGAAACAGACACCAGAGTGGAAAACCGGGAAGACATGTTCATTGTATGACGCTGCCCCGTAAAACGCTGCCTTCTCCCCCGTCCCACGGAAGGGTTCTCACATGCCAGGCTAGTAAGCCAGGTCTGGGAACCAGGCAGCACACCCCAGGAGGCTGAGGGCGTGGCTCGGAGCTGCCGTGTCGGGCTCCCTCTCTCCGCCCACAAGTGACACAGCTGACACAGGAGGGCAGGTCCCAACAGGATCAAGGCCAGGCCTTCCTCCCCTTTCCCTGGGCTTTGACAGCAGAGAGAGGTTCTTGGCTGACAGTCAAAGCGTCTTTGCAGTAAGAGTTCAGTAAAGTTTTCACAGGCAAGCGTGGGCCTTCCACCTGAACCGCAACGTGCAC